CAATGTTAAAAATCACTATACAGTTACAATAATCAAAAGAGTGCTGTAAAAGTGTAAGGAGTAGCATAAACCAGTGAAGCAGAATAGAGAACTGAGTAAAACACAAACAAAAACACGTCCCATTAATTTTTGACAATGTTGCAAAAATTGCAAAAGCAATTCAATAATTTGACAGAGCTATCTCTGTACTCATATGTAAAAAAATCTAACTTTGACTTTCAATTTCCCACCCTTTTGAACATTAATTTAAAAATGTATTATGAGAGTAAATATAAGGCATAAAACTATACATTTTAGAAGTATTATTAGCACAGAAAATCTTCAAATACTAGGACGCACAAAAACTTTGTATACTGGACACAATAAGCACAATCCAGAAGGTAAAGAAAAGTAGAATATATCGAATACAAATTCAACAAAAAGAAATTTTGTTCTGAGTAAAAACAAATACATAGAGAAAACCTGTGAATCACTCATTTAACAAAATACACGCTTCTATAAAACATAAAATCTCTCATGAACTTGGAATATCTTTCCATTGTATTGTGTCCTCTTCAATTTCTTTGATCACTGTTGCATAGTTTTAATTGTAGAGGTCTTTTATTTTTTTTTGCTAACTTTATTCCAAGGTATTAATATTGTCTCTTATTTGTAACTATTGTAAATGGGATTACTTTCTTGGTTTCTTTTTCAGACCGCTCACTGTTGGGATGTAGAATGCAACTGATTTTTGTATGATGATCTGTATCCTCCAACTTTACTGAATTTGTTATCAGTCATTCCTGTCATCCTAAAATGTTTATACTACACAAATCTATCTACAGACTCAATGCAATTCCTTTTATAATATCAATGACATTATTTACATAAATAGAAGAAAAGATCCCCAAATGTATATGAACCCACAAAAGACCTAGAATAACAAAGGTCATCTGAGCCAAAAGGGACAGAATAAGAGGAATCACATTACCTGACTTTACGCAACAAAGCTACAGTAACCAAAACAGCATGATACTGCCATAAAATAGACACACAGATTAATGGAACAGGACACCAGCCCAGGCAACTTGGCAAGAACTCATCTCTAATAAATAAAAAATTTAGCTGGGTGTGGTGGTGCGTGCCTGTAGTTCCAGATATTTGGAAGGCTGAGGTGGAAGGATTGCCTGAATCCAGCAGGTTGAGACTGTGGTGGTCAGGATCATGCTACTGCACTCCAGCCTGGGCAACAGAGAGACTCCTACTCAAAAAACAAACAAACAAACAAACAAACAAAAAGGAACAGGATAGAGAACCCAGAAATTAATCCATGCATTTATAGTAAACTCATTTTCAACAGTGGTGCCAAGAATATACACTGGGGAAAGGGCAATTTCTTCAATAAGTGGTGCTGGAAAAACTTAATAATCCATATGCAGACAAATAAAATTAAGCCCTTATCTCTTGTGAAATAAAAAATAGATTAAAGATTTAAGTCTAAGACTGAAAACTATAAAAATACTAGAAAAAAAATTGGGAAAACACTTCCATTGGCCTGGGCATAGGTTTCTTGAAGAAGACCTCAAATGCTCAGGCAACTAGAGAAAATTTGGCAAATACAATCACATCAAGCTAAAAACTTCTACACAGCAAAGGAAAGAATCAACAAAGTGAACGGATAACCCACAGAATGGGAGAAAATATTTGCAATCTACCCATCTGAAAGGTGATTAAGAAGCAGGATACACAGGAGCTCAAAAAACTCAATTGAAAAGAAAACACCTAACAATCCGATTTTTAAAAATGGGCACAAGATCTGAATAGACATCTATCCAAAGAAGACATACAAACGGCCAACTGGTATATGAAAAAAGGTTCGATGGAACTAGAGTCTATAATACTGAGTGACCTCTCACAGAAGCAAAGATCCGAGTATCACATGTTCTCACTCATATAATGGACCTTGAACATCCAATGTAATACTATAAGAAAATGACTGACAGTACTGGGAAACTATGGGGGGGGAGGGGGATGGGATTAAAGTAGCAAATATCTGTCTGGGGATGGGAAAACACCTCTTATCAACAGGGTGTCTGAATGAAACGTAATTGTACACCTAACCCTTAAATGTACCCCACAAAACCACAATAAAAAATATTGATTAATAAAAAAAAAAGAAAAAAGGTTCAACGTCACTTATTATCAGAGAAATATAAGTAAAAACTACAATGAGATGCTATTTCACCCCAGTTAAAATGGCTTTTATCCAAAAGACAGGTAATAATGAATCCCAATGAGGATGTAAAGAAAGGGGAGCACACAGTTGGCAGACATGTAAATTAGGACAGCCACTATGGAGAACAGTATGGAGATTCTTGAAAAAAACTCAAAATAAAAATATCATATGCTCCCGCAATGTCACTGCTGAGTATATAGCCAAAAGAAAGGAAATTGGCATATTGAAGAGGTATGTACACTTTCATGTTTATTGCAGCATTATTCTCAGTTTTTAAGATATGAAATCAGCCTAAGTGTCCATTAATGGATGAATGAACAAAAAATATGGTATATAGACACAATGGAACATTATGCAGTCATAAAACTCATGAAATTCTGTCATTAGCAACAATGTGTATCAGACTGCAGGACGTTATGTTAAACAAATTAAACCAGGCACAGAAAATAATGCATATTCTCAGTCATATGTGTGAGCTTTAAAAACATAATTCATATTCTCAGTCATATGTGGGAGCTTTAAAAAAAAAAGGGCCCATGGAGACAGAGAGTGGAATGACAGTTGCCAGAGGATGGGTAATTTAGTGTGCATGAGATAGATAAAATGAGGAGGGTTAATGAGTACCAAAAAATATGGTGGAAAACAATAAGATCAAATGTTTAATAGCACAACAGGGAGACTAGAGTTAACAATAATTTATTGCATACTTTAAAAAGATGCAAAGAATGGAATTGGAATGCTCCTAACTTAATAATAAAATCTTATATGGTGATGAATATTGAATATTGAGTGAATATTTTATTCATTCAACCCAATTACTCTGATTTGATTGTTATACATTATACGCCTCTATCAATACATTTCACCTCTCCCATAAATATATACAACTTTTATGTACACACAATAATGAAATACGAAAATTAAAAAAACTCTATCAAAACTGAACATTTAAACACAAATAATCCAATTAGAAAATGGAAAATTTATAAACAGAATTTTTACTAAATAAGATATACAACAAAATGAACATATTGCATTCAAAATCATTGTCCATAGGTAAGTGAAAATTAAAATTGCAAAAGATGTGAATGCACAGTTAATATAATTACTAAAATTAAAAATAATGGTGGTACCATCATATATTAGTGAGAGTACAGAAAAGTAGGTTATTCGTATATTATTGGTGGGAACATCAAACAGTGCAGCCATTCTGAAAAATATTGTGTCAGTTGCTTTTAAAATTATAAATATCTTACAATACATTCCAGCATTTCAGTCTTGGACATGTATTCTGGAGAAGTACAATTTTACTTTCATGCAGAAGATTCTGCATGAATATTCATTACAAACTTATGCACAATAGCTAAAAAACTAGAATCTACCCAAAGTCCTTCAGTGGAGCAACAGTTAAAAAACATATGATATAGCCATACAAATAAATACTAGTCATTAATTAAAAAATGAAGTATTGACTCATGCCACAATTTGGATGCAGTTCATAGAAATTATGCTAGACAACAGTGAATCACACACATATACAAACTGTATGATTTTTAAATATTACAACCATAAATCACAAAATTGGAGAGAGGGAGCAAAGTTTGGTGGTTGCAAGAATCTAGGGATGATGGAAGATAGAATCAATGTATCTACAAAATGGAAACATTAGAGAGTCCTGTAGTGATGATAAAATTATGTATCTTGATTGTGGTGTTGGTGACATCAATCTACAGGTGAAAAGATTGCATAGAAGTAAACACACATGCACACACATACAGACACAGATTAATTGGTCAAATTTGATTAAGGTCGCTCAATTTTACCAACATTCATTTCCCAGATTTGCTATTATAGGAAAATTTTGCAGCATTTTAATATTGATGAGGGCCATTGGTTCATTTATTCTTTTAAAATTTTCCATATGTATATATTTATTTCAACCACATTTCCCCCTTAAATTCACTGAAACGTTACTTTCTTCAGTATCATCTACCATTAAGGTACTCCACATTCTAAATGGTGGGGGCAAGGCAACATATTCCAGCCACTTTCTTGAACTATCTTTTGTTCTTGACCATCACAGTCTTTAGTTGCTGTATTAAGTTATTTATACATCTAGTTACTTAGAAATATAATTTCTGCCTTAGCATATTTGAGTCCATACCTCCAATATTTACTCAGGTATACAATTCTAACTATATAAATATAGGTTTAGTAAAAACAAATATGCTATGTTTGCTCATAATTTTTCACCAAATAAAATTTTAAAATGTTTAGTGCCACATACTCCTCATATGCTCTTGGCATGAAAGGTTTAATGGTTTTTTTCCATTTCAATATTGCAGTTAACTTTTAAAATTAAATTCAACTGTTAACTAGCACATCATAATGGGTGATATCCTTGAAATATACAGACTATATAATAAAGCTTTCAACTTTGCTATAACGTAATTATACCTATGTAGAAAATTCCGCTGTATAAAAAGAAATATTCTGGAAGTTCTGTTTAAAATGAAGGAATGACTTTGTACAATATTTACTTCTAGGCTATAATTAAAAGTGTACACAAACTTTTGGTTGCCAGTTTGCTCTAGAGCTATCTAGACTTAGATCCAAGAGAGTAGCCACTAGCCACAGTGGCTTTTTAATTTAAATTAACTAAAGCTGAAATTTCGATTTCTTAGTTGCACTATCTACATGTTAGTTGCTCACAGAATCATGGAGATTTAGATCATTTTTATGAGAGCAGGAAGCTCTATTGGAATACAATGATCTAGAGACTGACCTGTTGAAAGCCAAAGCCCGTTATTGATACTGCCTCCTGGTGATGATGGTAATGGTTCACAGGTAGGAGGAGCATATCCAACATCACAGTGACAAGTATCTAAATTAGTGCAAATCTAAAACCAAAACAAAAAACATATTTACAATATAAAAATTAAATGTATCGCTTGTGATTGTTAACCAAAACATTATTTAGAGACTATAATTTAGTTTAAGGAGTTTTTAATTAATATGAAAAATAATTTTCAAGATAAAAAGAGTACTTAAATGTTCATGTAATATATTTGCAAATATTATAAGAGGTAGCTTTTTAGTCTCATAAAAATAAAAGTAAATAGCAATCTTGATACAAGTTAATTTTTTTATCAGAAAGACATATAGCTTAGGAGGCTGGAAATTATAGGCTGATGGGAATTAAGATGTATTATGAATTGTGCTAGATTTAAAAAAATTTTGTGATGAGAGCAAACTTTTATACAAAAATAGAAAAACAACTCAATTATAGAAGCCTGTTTAATCAGATACAGATGTCAAAATGTATGTGGAAGAATAGAAACTATGTATAAATGAGGTCTGGAAGATGAACAGAAAAAGGACTGGTAGAGAATTTTTAGATAATTGTATACAAAAATTAAATATGAACATATATAAAGAGTAAATAAGAAAAGAAATGGATAAGAAATAAATGGGCTATGTAAGTGATTTGGGGGAAAATGTTGATGGAAAGACACAGGTCAATTTTCATCTGAATTACATAAAATATAAACCATTAGTATAGCAGGAGACTGGCCACAAGATAAAGCCAAATGCATGCTTGGAAAAATGTATAAAGTTTGTGCAATTTCCATAACCCGGTAGATCTAACTTTACAACATATGAGCAAATAGAAATGTAAGTGGTAAGTATGACCACACATAGTTCAGATTTGAATCATTAATTAGCAAATAATGGAAATTAACAATGAACTTAGCATGTTAAAGAAACTAAAAAGACTAATAAACTAGTCTGGCCAGAGCATAAGGAAATGTATCTTTTCATATATGATAGATAGGAGAAAAAGCTTGCATGCTATGGTGAAGACAACAAAACACTTTGGAAATTCAAATGGTGCATTTATTTGGCTCAGTCATATTTCATTGCTAATAACTTAGGAAACCAGAAACACGTGCAAAGGTAAATTTAAAACCATGTCTGTTGTAGCATTCTTAATAATAGTTAAGCTAAAATTTGACATTACTTGAAAGGCCCTTAGTGAATTATGTTTCAAATATAGGAGGGATGATCCAAGCAGGGAAATAAATTAAAGCCATTGAAGAATGAAACAAATTTGAAGGGATTAAAACCTCTTATCCTGTAAAGTGCTAGATTAAAATCAAAGTGTATAATAGTGTGTGAATGTTTGTGAATATTCACAAGCACACATACACTAAATTATAAATAGTATCCGTATGTATAAATGTGTATGTCTAATCTTTAATATATTTCCACTATTTCATAATCTTAATCTAACATTATAATAATGTATTATGTTTCATTTTGCATTTTTTGATAAAAGTTCAAACTTATTTGCTCATGTGTGCAATCTGACTGTACACATAAATAATCTTGATGCATAAATTGTGGAATCTACTTTCCTTATATAACAACAAACTTCCAAAGGAAATTTTCATGTCAAACAATTGTGAATTTATCATTAACATGGAAAATGTCATTGACTTTAATTTAAATAATTATTCTTTAAAAAGAGCAACTGTTACCTACCCCATGTCCTTTACATTTTACTTTTTCATTACAGTTTGTTGTATTTGGCAACTCGGCGAAATGAATGCACGCTCGCCGAATGCAAACCTATAATGTTAAAAAGTAAACAACACATATTAAATGTAAAGTCAAGAGATAAGGAATCATATTTGTATAAAAATTATATGAACAGGACACATATACAATAGATATGTCTGAATTTTATTACTTAATAACATATGAAAATTATAAATGAGATAATATTTTATTTCTTCAGTAATCAAAGCTACAGTTCTTTGTTATAAACTGATACAAATACAATAGCCATCTTGTTTTAGCCATTTGTAATTTTAAGGACCAGTATTAGCATTTTAAATGAATTTTTCTATTGTACATTCATATAGATCCCAGAAAAAAGGATATCTTTATGCTCATTTTGTACTTGAGTAGTGGGGTGGCTGTGTCAAATGGTGGTTCTATTTTTAAGGTTTTTTTTTTTTTTTTTGAGTTGGAGTCTCACTCTGTCACCCAGACTGGAGTGCAGTGGCCGCTTCTGGCCACTGCAGCCTCGGCCTGCTGGGATCCAGCGATCCTTCCACCTCAGCCTTCCAAGTAGCTGAAACTACAGGCACGTGCTACCACGCCCAGCTAATTTTTGATTTATTGTAGA